TCCTCCTGGCCTGTTTGGATGGCTACTGCAGGTAAGTTACTTGGCCTCTCTCATTCAGTTCGCATTCCTTGGTGAAACAGAAATTAATAATGACTTCTACTTGTGAAGAATTTTCAGATCTGAAATTTCTTTGGGTTTTGGCAAGAAAAAGATGCTAAGAATTCCAGAGAATTATTGGTAGGAGTTAGGAGTAGACAGTTACCCCAGCCAGGCTGGACAGTTGGGCCTTTTGGCTGGGAGGTATTTGAAAGCCCTAAGCTTTGAGGCATATCCCCAAGATCCCCTTCCTGGCAGGGAAGGTTCCTCCTCGTTGCCTCAGTCAGTTAGCATCTGCACAGCACTTGTGTTAAGTTTACGGAAGACATCTACGTCTGCTAGCGAAGATAGTAGCACTGTATGGTGGCAGTTCAGGTGGTGTTCAGATTCTACCTTTACATCTGAGGAAGCAGGAATTCCAGAGATAGAGATGGAGAATCTCCTTGCTTGCTTTCTTACCACCCCAAGCTTCTCACAAGCCTTTCCAGGATTAGGTGGGACAGGTTATCTTGAAAGGCAGACACTGGTGGTGGGGCCCTGGGCCGGGGGAGCTCAGAGGCAGCTTTTAGCTGGAGACCAAGAAGGGAAATGGCCAGTGAGGAGGCTGCTGCTTTTTCTCTCCAGTTCCTGCCCTGATGTAGCTACTAACTAGATGAATGTTCTGGGTTTTTTTGTTTTTCCTTTTTAAAATTGACATGTAATAGTTGTACATATTTGGGGGCTGCATGTGATATTTTGATCCATGTATACAAAGTGTAATGACCAGTCAGGGTATTTAAGGACATTTATCATCTCAAGCATTTATCTTTTCCTTTTTTTCCTTGTATTGGGAGCATTCCAATTCTATTTCGAAATATACAATAAATTGTTAACTATAGTCTCCCTACTGCACTATCGAATCCTAGAACTTACTCCTCACTGTATTTTTGCACCACCCACCTGGCTCTTCATTCCCCTCCCCTGCCTTTCCCAGCCTCTTCTGCCCCCATCCCATCCTCTATTGGAGGGTTGTGTTTTAATTGGATTTGTAGTGCACCGTGTAGCTTCTCTTCTCCCAGGAGTGGGAGGGGCCACCTCCGGGTTCCACCTGCGGGGGCTGCCCTGAAGCCCTGGGCTCCCATCACTCTGGTGCATCCCCTCTCCTCTCCCTTCTAAGCAAATGTGCTAGACAAGACTGTTCCAGGCATGGGCCAGCCAGACGGCAGCATGGTGGTAGGGGTGCAAATCTGCTGGAAGCAAGAAAATGTGGACTTCATGGGTTGTGGAGGGAACTCAACTTCTGCCCCATCCCCAGTCAGTTCCTATGACCCTAAGGCCTGAGCCTCAGCTTGCTGTAGAGAGGAGAGCAGAGCCTACACTTAAAATTCTTGGAGGTTTTGTGCTTCCAACAGCCAAGTCCTTTCTGGCTCAGGGTTGGAAAAAGTCCATGTATCTGTGTGCACATTGTATTTGGGCTGGGCTCAGAGAGGTGAGCCACCAGCTGACCTGACGTGGCCTCTCCTCACCTGCCAGGCCTCAACAGCTGGTCCTCTCACCCCACTGGCAGACACTAAGGATTACAGGCAGCCTGCATCTGGGCCATTCTGCTTGGTTCTTGGTATGACTGTTTCCTGTTGCTACTACCTCCACGGTAGTGGTTCAAATGCGAGCTTCTGGGAAATGGGGCAGCAGAGCCTCAACCCCTTCATCATCAGGCCTCTGGAAGGCCCACTTGCACCCAAAGGTGTAACTCAGTCATATGCGTAAATTAGGCAAGTGTGTGCTGTGAGCCTGAGGAACGGGATGGCAGGAAGTGATGTAGCCCCTTCCACCCTCGAGCAGGTTGGGTGCCGATCCTCCAGGAGTCTGCAATGACATTTCCTTCTGCTTTCTAAGAAAATGGCCAGTGTCCACAAAGAGCTTGCCTGACTCATTACATCAGTTCTCACCCCAGCACTCACCCAGCCCCTCTTTCATACAAGAGCAGGCCAGGGGCCCCACTGTGTATGAACCTGTCTTGTTGAAGCCTACCCTTTACTTGGTATCATATTACCTGGACTCAAATGTGAACATTACAACACTGCCTCTATGAAAGGGTGTGCAATGCAGGGTGTTCACAAATTCTGGTTACTTTGAAATGCTTTTTTTTTGGGTAATGTTTTAGCTGGATTTAAAGGAGCCTGTAACAAAACTGCCTCTATGTACTGGTATGCAGTCCCAGATGTTGGTGGATTCCAACAGGTCACCTGTCCTTTTCCCACTGCCATGCCTCCTCCCCACCGCCGCCGCCCCGGTCACTACCACACCACTGAAAATGAGGGGGTCTTGTGATGCTAAATTATACTTCTGGCTAAGATTTCATGGGGACTGGCTGGGATGAAAAGTAAGGAAATACAGTTTCCTCTCTCACAGGTCTGGGTTTCACCCTTAAGCTGAATGAAAGGAGAGCAGAGACAAGGGCAGGAAGGGTTAAGAGTGAAATCTGCTGTGAAATCTAAAAGATATTTTCTGTGCAAGTCTGGTTTCAACTGTTTGTGCTTGTCTTAAAGTGTGGGAAGAGGTTCAGAGCTGGAGGGACAACTGACAGGAAGAACGGGGGTGGTGGATGGACCCAGAGGTGTTTTCCAAAACATGGGTTCTGGATGTCAATAGTGATGAGAAGGTTGCTATGGTTTCCTGAGCTACACTCATCTCCCAGGACAACATGCCCCATTTTCCTTTGTTCCTGATGGACTGCTGTGGACTGGGACCGGAAGAGCAGGATCCTGGAATATATCCTGGGAGCTGACCTGAGCCTTCGGGGGCCAGGCCTACTGTCTGGGGGAGAAGGGGAATGCGCTGCTTGCAGATCAGAGTTAACAAGGCGTGAGTGGCTTCAGCAGGCTGAGAAGGAAAGTCTGGGACCACAGAAGCGACTCCTGGGGCTGGGAGGTTTCCTGTTCCCGGCTTTGGGCTCACGTCAGGGCAGGCTCTTTCCAGAGCCAACGAGGCTGATGCCATGCTGGGGGAGGGCTCGGGTCCCAGCTCCAAAGGAAGGGAGACAAGGCTTACAGGCTGTGGTTTCCGCCCAACCCATACAGCAGGAGATGGGGAGACTTTATTCATTTCAAGGGAGAGTGACAACAGGAATGAGACGAAGTGTGAAAGTGAAAGGGAGAGGCAATACTGAGATGAGAACAGCAAGAACAAAGCCTAGTACAACACTGCAGCCATACAGAGCTTGAGGGAGCGGGGAGGTCCGTCACCACCAGGCCCTGTGGGCCAGGCACACCCATTTTTCTTCTCTCTTGTCAGACTTGATGATAAAGGGAAACTTGGGACTCCGGAGCACCAACATGGAGCGAGACGGTCAATACTGATGGACTTGCAGTTAGCACCACGGCAGCCCTGCCTGGTCTGGGGAAGCTGCCAGGAGGTGATGGTGCCTGGCGGGGGCAGACTGCCCACCTCCCACTCCTTTTCCTGCCCTTCACACCATCATCATGTTGGACCCAGCATGCATGTCCCTGCACTTGGAGCAAGGACAGGGACACAGGGCAGACACTGGGCCTACCGACATTGCTGCAGCTGAGCCAGAGAACAGTCTAGGCAGGTAAAGCAGGCGCGCACATCCACACAGGCCTCTGGGCACTCCACCAGCCAGAATGAGACCCATGCCCTGACCTGGGAAGTCAAGTTCAAGCGGGAAGGGCTGGAAATCAGACATGGCCAACTTCTTGGCTCTCTCTGCTCCCCAAACTCTGGCCCTAGGCTTGCTTTATCATCACATCCCAAAGCCAGAGGGCCGATGCTTTCCCCCAC